AAAGAGTCTGAGTGACTGAACAACAGCAATGACTATTACCTTATCTGGAAAAACTGTCTCTGGGGATGTGGTTAAGCCAAAAGTCTTGAGATGGGGATAGTATTTTGTATTATTCATGTGGATCCTGCATGTGAATATAATCACAAATACCTTCCCTAGAGGCTCAGACGGTAATCAGTCTGCCTGCAATGCAGGAGACCTGTGTTGGATTCCTGGGTCAGGAAGATTGCCTGAAGAAGGAAATGGCAACCCAATCCATTTTTCTTGCCTGGGAAATCCCTGATAAGTAGAGGATTGGAGGGATTTGGCTACAGAGAGAAGAGGAATAGGCAGTGTGAACTGTGAATAGAGACTGGGGTAATGTGGCCTCAAGCCAGCTGATACCAGCCGCCAGGAGATGCCAGAAAAGGCAGAATACTGATTCTCCCCTAGAGCCTTTGGAGGAAGTATGTCTTGGTACCACCTTGATTCAGACCCAGTGATTCTGATTTGGAACACCTGGCCTCTAGAATCATGACAGAATAAATTTCAGTTATTTTAAACTTACAGTTTTGTGGTTATTTGTTACAACAGTCTTAGGAGACAAAGGCATTTTTATTGCCTGCTTCTATAATGAGAATGCTTATCTCAAGATACTTTTTGTCAAGCCTTCTCTGGCAAGTAAATAAAACAATGTGGAAGGATATAGGATTGAGAGGTATTTAATGTATTTATTTGGAAGGACAAATGTAGAAGTGTCATTTGCTTTGATATTTACTTTGTTGAGTGACTTTTTTCTGGCCTCATAGCTTCAACTTCTGATTTTGCATTTTATGAACTCAGTGTTGATAAATGACATGTCTGTTTGTAAATAGCATTGTAATAGGAATAGTTGAATGAGAATATTCTTTCATAATGACTTACTTTGATTCCAAGACACTTTTAAAAATTATTTGAAATAAGAAAACGAATAAAGCAATTTGAATGTATAATTGCAATTTTATAATAGGTTTAGCTCTAGAATAATAAATCTAAGTCATTAATTGAAAGTTAATTGGTAACATCAGCAAAGTTTATCTTGTGTTTTGGGGATTGCATGCTTCAGTTGACACCTAGTGTACAGCTGGGATTTATTCACACCACACCTCTGGGTCTGATAGTGTATTAAGTTATGAAGAATATTAATATTGCTGCAGAACAATTACTTGTTCATTTGCTAACTGATTAAAATTCATGCATAATTTATTGAAATGAATAGCGATTTTATAAATAAGCTGCCTTGTTCTCAAGGGGCTAAAAACAAAATGCATATGCTAATATGAGGCAACTTTTTACCTCCAACATAAAATTTAATATGTATTGGGGTATTAGTCTCATTAATGTTAGGTTTCACTTATCATCATGCTGTTAATCAAGGTATATGTTTTTAAGCCTCTCTGAATGTTGCCACAGTTTCAAATTTGAGCTAGTGCTTTGATTACTGGACTGCCCTTTTGTTGACTTGACCATACTAAGTGAGATGTAAAACTGATCAGAGTGAATTATTGCCCTCTTTGGTCCAGGAACCTGATTATATCAAACTCAGTTCTTCATGTACACAAAACACTAGTGTTGAATATTAATTTTTGAGTTTAAAATTTATATGCTCCTTGGCAGAAACAAAACAAAGCAAAACAGCATCAAATATAAGGCTTGTTGACACGCTTAGAAATGTAAAGTCTTTTAAAATTCTTAAAATTATGCCTAGTGTGCCAATGAGAAAATTATAATGCTAAGAAATCTAATAACATTTGCAGGTTTACTCAGCTAGTAGTGTATGCATTTTAAAAACTAGATCTCTTGACTTTAAATTTCATTTTCTTACACATGTCATTTCTTTAAAGGTAGAAATGATAGAAGAAACATTATGCTTTACTTTTTCACTTATTTCTAATAGTATGTTTTGTTGTAGCTTTCCTCTTCTGTTCTCCTCTTTTGTTTTCTCCTTTATTTTCCATGACAATAATGTGCAGAGCTGTGATGGTTCAGGTTTTACATTCAATGTACACTTATTAGGTCAGGTTTCACCCTACGCATAAATTTACAGCTTAATCCCAATATTTGTTATGTATGATTCATTTGCCAAATTATCCAGTCATGTAAAATATCAGACCTCTGCAGGTTATTGTTCAGCTGTGATATGAGTGAGGCATCACTGCTCTGGGTTAGAATCCCAGTATGCTGTGAATTTAATATCACTTCCTACTTAAATTAGTCAGTACATGAGCCATCTGGAATGAAAACAAACATTACAGATATGAGGCAGCTCAGTTTATTCGCAAAATTCAGACTGCTCCTTAAAATATGTGCAACACTTAGATAGTCTGGGAAGATATTTGCATTTTTTCTATTACGTTCATTTCTCTATTCAGTTTCATTTTCGTTTAAGGTTTAGAAAATATATCAACTCTCTCTTTGTCTACCAAAACTTTTATAAACTTGAAATATAAAAGTTGTCAGACTAGTTGCTAAAACTTCATGGTATGAATTGTCCAGCTTTTTTCATTTTGCTGATACATGAAAATTCTAAACTATTTTGGTATTATTTAGACTTTTTCTTCTGTAGCTTCTCAATGGAATTCAGCTGTGAAATTGTAAATATTAGTTCACCCTATACCCAATTTTGAATATATGCTGTTGAAAAGAATTTTCAAACCATTAGAGATTTTGTACTTAAAATTTATAAATCAGGTGTTAAGAACTACCTTTCTATAAGAAATAGAAACAATTTTAAATGTAAGCAGTTTATAAAGCTCATGGTCCCAGGTGGCTCAGATGGTAAAGCATCTGCCTGCAAGGCAGAAGAGCCAGGTTCAGTTCCTGGGTTGGAAAGATCCCTTGGAGAAGAGAATGGCAACCCGCTCCAGTATTCTTGCCTGGAAAATTCCATGGACAGAGGAGCTTGGCAGGCTACAGTCCATGGGGTTGCAGAGAATCAGACACGACTAAGTAACTAACACTACAGTACTAGTTTATATAGCATACAAATAGTCTTAATCTGAGCTTTATTTTCACTTTAAACAGGAGAGTAGTGAAGCACAAGTTCATATGATTTTACTGATAACTAGTTTGAAAGCTGTTGTGTAATGATGATTGTTGATGTGAGTGACTTTGTATTCTTCAAGTCATTTGGCAGAAAGAAAAACGAGTGTTACTCACTAGGTACCTCTCCCTCCAACATCTGATATCTCAATCTCAGTATCCATTTTCTACATAACTCTTTATTTAAAATAATGAATTTGCTGATTTATTGTATCTCCCTTGCCACGTTCTATGAATACCCAATGTGTAGAATAGCTTCAGTTCAGTTCAGTTCAGTCACTCACTCGTGTCCGACTCTTTGCGACCCCATGAATTGCAGCACGCCAGGCCTCCCTGTCCATTACAAACTCCCGGAGTTTACTCAAACTCGTGCCCATCGAGTCGATGATGCCATCCAGTCATCTCATCCTCTGTCGTGTGGTAGCTCTTCTTGGCCGCTGCCGCTGACCTCGGACGTGGGGAAGCTCCTCTCGGCCACACTGCTGCGCGGTCCGTCGCAGACGGCGTGCTTAGAATAGCTTAGCAGTTAGTAATTACTCAATATATATTTATCATATGAATTTTGGAGGAAGATTCTTGAAAATTAACCTGTATAGAGATTTATTTAGTCCAGCTTGTTTTATTCTTCATGTTAGGGATGTTTGTAACACAAGGGTTCAAAAGGGGAAACTATACATTGGAATTTAAAAGCAAATTCTGGGCTACACTGGAAAACTGTACCAGAAGTATAAGGTTTGTTTTTTTTTCCCCCAGTATTGTATTATCAGCATTCATTGCCATTAAAATAGGAAATCCAGTTTAAAAAAATATCAGCTGTATTTTCTTGTTTCTATCTGCATCTTCTCCTTGAGATGAAGGGGTGGACTCCAAGAGAAGCATTTTATGGTTGCATTTAATAGCTTTTCTTCGTATAATGTGCCTTAACTTTTTTTAAAAAAACACCTTTGAAACAATAGATTAACACTTTCCCTTAAAGTCTTTTGGCTCCCCAAGAAATGTTCTTTCTGAGACTTAAAGAAGCTTCCACCTGATCGCAATGTACTAATTAGAGTTCATATGGACAGAGCTAAAGCTATGCGGTCTTTAACAAAGTTCAGTATCAAATATCACCTCTATAGTTGTTAAGGTGAAATAGTTCCCTTATTCATTATTTATCATATTCATAAGTTCAAAGATTGATATATTGTTTCCCAAAGTTTCTTTCTAAGATATTCAAGATTAAATTGCAGTGCACCTTTGACATTTGAGTTTAATATTTGATGTATTGCCTTATCACATGCTCCTCCCAAAGGCCAGTGATATGTGATGATTTGTAATTTTGCCTCGCTGTCAGTTTCAGTTTATTATATTGAGAGATAGATACATGGAAACAAGTCAGCACTCAGCATCAGCTCCTGAGTTAAATGTTGCTATGCCTTCTTTTCATTTCATCTGCAGGAAGTCTGCAGAAGTTACAGAAAAAAAACCAAAAACCAGCAGGAGCAAAAACATGACCTGGTCATATTTTATGAACAAAATAATTAGTTATAGCAGTATTCACTAACATGGAGGTTTGTCAAGATCTTAGTTCCTCAAGAATGTTAATGATCAACTGTACTGTGTTTAGTAGTTAATCAGAGCTATCTATCTCTAAATATTTTCTTTTTATTTCCCTTGGTTACTGTGTCTTTACAAATTTATCTCCTGGAGAGGCATGTTTTTAATTAAAAAACAAAACAAAACAAAACTTGTGGTAAAAGGGTCATATCCCATCTGTGAAAGTATTTGCTGTTTAAAAGTAGTTTCCAGACCACTCATTCCCAGTTTTCTTTTAAATATTTATTATGAACTCCTAAATAGAATAGTCCTTAAGCCTTTAGACTTCAAGAGATATAAGTAAATCTGTGCATTATAGTCTTTTGGATTTTTAGCTAATGGGGTTGTACTTTCGTCTCTCCTAGAACCACCGAGACCCATTGCTCCTCCCCAGCTACTAGGTGTTGGGCCTACATACTTGCTGATTCAGCTAAATGCCAACTCCATCATTGGCGATGGTCCTATTATTCTGAAAGAAGTGGAGTACCGAATGACATCAGGGTCCTGGACAGAAACCCATGCAGTCAATGCGCCAACTTATAAATTATGGCATTTGGATCCAGATACCGAATATGAGATCCGTGTTCTACTTACAAGACCAGGTGAAGGCGGAACGGGGCTTCCAGGACCTCCACTAATCACCAGAACCAAATGTGCAGGTAAGACTGAAGAGCAGGCTACTCAGCCTACTGAAGGAATCTAGCATAAGACATAATATTCTTACAACATTAAAATTTCTAATTATTTGGTACATGATTAGTCATATTATTCTAAGATTTCCAGAGCATTTGGTAAATTGTAGCCTTAATTATGTCATAAATTTGACTGATTTATGGGCAGTGTGAATGTTTCTTTATTATCATTATTATGAATCTAAAGTCTTTTCTTGGATGGTAATTTTGCTCAGCTTTCTTGTATTTAGCCCACAATCTCTGATTGATGCCAGTGAATGTATTATTGAGAGAGAAAACCTTCACAGTTCAAGCAAGTGTTGAGTACCTTTCTACTGTTTGCAAATTGTCTTTCTTGATAATTTTGTTATGGTCAGTGCAGAGGCTATATCTGATAATATGCATAAGAAAAGTTACTCTGATTCAATCCTCAATAAAGTCTATTCAGAAAATCCTGTTGAGGATTAATGCAGCAGCTTGAGACCCAGCTGTAAAATACCAAGGCTTTTCTTAAGTTTTTAAGGCTTGTATTGTCTTCCTCATGCCTACAACAGAGTGGTGAAAATAATAGCATATGGAGAAAACACTAAGAAATAATGAAAAGTGAAATAAAAAGTCCTGTATAGACATGCATCCTGTTCCTTATTGCAACGTATTGTTATAATGAGAGAAATCATTAGCTATTTATTAAATCCAATGAAAAGTTTAATTGTCTAATTTATTGAGTGCACTTCTATTATACTATTTAATTGTTTTATTGTTGAAAATAGTTTAATTTTTTAATTTAGTTGAAAGAGATTTTTGTTTTCCATCAATCATTATGTTGAAACACCTGCAGAGTTAATTCATAGGTCTGTATGTCTTGAACATTTAAAGATTTAGGTTCTGAAAATTGAAAACTAAGAACATAGGGATCTATGAAAATGTAAATGCCTGTAATGTGTCTTTTGTTTCTTTGACATCTATATAACAGTTACAATATTCTGAGGCTGCCCACCAAGAGTACTGATCTAACATTAAAGTAAAATTCATGCAATTACCTAATGTATTGTCATCCCTAAAAATATTTTATTCCGACTTAAGTTTTATATATTCATATTTATATATCTCCTATATAAATATTGAAAAATGCTCACTAGTAGGAAGCTTCACTGCTGAATTTTTAGTCTCAGATTTAGACAATAGAGAGTTTACTAATTTGCTGATTGTGTCATATGTTTATCTTGTGGTTGGAAAATAGCTTAATCCTGAAGACATTAGGTAAGTCTCTGAGGCTCAGCCTAAATCACACAATTTGCTTTTCACATTTTCAGTACAGCAAAGTATTTTCATTTTAAGTAATATGACAAAATATTCTTATTGTAGTAGATGAATTTGCTGTGGGGTAAAGCAAGTTGACTCTACAACCTCAACTAGTCAGAGAAATAATTTAAAAAGGAAGCGATATGGAAACTGAGAAGTGACTCACTCTTGCAGATTAATACCCAGTGATGACATAACATGAGGAATGATGGGTCTGTTTTACTGGAGAAATTGTCTACACGTATTTTCTGATAAAATTACCTTTCTCTCCCTTTACATTTAATCCTTACAAGGTATATACAAATTAAAGTAATAAATGTTAATTTACTATTCAAGTGAGCTTCCTCTTGATTTCTGGGCCCCAACTTCTTTCTTTTAAATATCTCATCTGCCTTATTTTTTACCAAAATAGATCCTTAAAATTTAGCAGTACCACACAATGGATTGTTAATATAAGTTTTTAACCTAGAAATTATTTGAAATTGGTCATTCGTCTGAGGGCCAATGGAAATTGCAAATAAATGAAATTGTGTTTTAAGGCTAGTTATGCTGTATTAAGTACATGGAAACAACATTTTGAGGAACATTGATTTATCCCTGTTGAATGCTTATATTCAGAATGCCTATTGAGCTGAAATAAGTAAAAATATGACTGTAAAGTGCTTTGAGGTATTTTACTTTGAGAATAACCTTATGTGTGTGGGAGGGGATAGAGTAAGAATAACTTACACTCATAGCTGCTTTCAAATTTATAAATGTCTTGACATTTTGAAATTATATTGGTCTTTTTTTGATATGTTATTTGAAAAACATTTAATTTGTGGGCTCTGTGGCATAAAATGGTATCAAGCTCATTCATTTGCAGTTTTACTTCCAACCGTAAAAAAGTTTGTTTTTGAAACTATCTTTCACGTGTGGTGAGTCTTTGTCACATATCTTTATTAATTTATTAATGTTCTCATTAGGTGTGTTTGATGTAGGTTTTATGGTAAAAAATGCTTATAGACTAAATTTTCAAGTACATTGTAAACTGGAGAGAAACTATGGTTACTGTTTTATAGGAATGTCTACTGATTGTCCTCTCTTATTAGCAAAAGAGGGAAAACTTATGGAATTAGATGTTCTATTAGCTTTTAAATAATCTCTGAAAAGCGGAAGTTAGGTATAACTGATGAACATCACATATCCAAATACAGAGTCAGTATAGGTTAAAATTATGACATCCATCTACTTCCCCTCTTCAAGAGTCCTTTCCCCAAGTTTAAAATCCCTCAGACCCTACCAGCATGAATATCATCACTGGCCTCAGTCTGGTGTTTTATAGCAACAGAACAGAACACAACTTATGCTGACTATGATATTCTCTGATATTTAGTACAAAAATTCATAATCTGGGAAAATAATCCCTTTGAGATGACAAAGATAACTTTTGGAGAAGTTCTCATCTAATTCTATTAAATTGTGTAAACTCTGAATATTGGTTCTGTAAACCATTCCATTTTAAGAAATATTGGTAGAATGCCATGTTGTAGGGTAATGTTTTACCGTTAGTATCATCTGGTTGAATATTTTTGTTTTGAAATAGCTATTTTAATGCATTCTACATGTTAGACCACCAAGAATCCTTGAAGATAGGTATAAATTTTTTTAGCTCTATGTGTGTGTCTGATATCAATTTCACATAAAGTTTTTATAAGTAACAAATAGGGTGATGATGACTTCCTGCCTCTCAGAAATTCTTATTTTTTTATTTTGGTTTATCAAACAGAGGAACAATTCTTGACTACTAGATACCTATCAGAGAGTAATTAGTTTATATTTACTGTCTTAAAAACTCCATTTTAATGTAGTTAAGCCTTTTAAATTGTACTTCTGGCAATAGTAATTTTTTTTTGGCAGAAATATGTCAATAAATAATTTTACAGCAAGTTAATGAGTTGGCTTTATTTATGTGTGTTAATGAGTAAATTTTATATTTTAAATGCAAGTGTAGATTTTCATAATTCACTATTGACTGATGCTGCCTTATAATTACTTGGATATTATTATCCCAATTTTGTAGCTGGTGAATGTAAGACTTAGGAAAAACAAAGTCAAAAACAATGATTTGTCTAACCTTTAGCCAACTGGGCAACTGGGGCTCATACCTATTTTCTGGTACTTGAAAAGCTGAATTCTTTCCCCTCTTTCTCCTACTATGGGCATTTTTGTTTCCCCTTTCAGAAGAATGTAGCATGGATATATGAAAGCACAGTGGATTAGTGTGCTTAACACTCAAGTATACGCTCTTTGAAATATTTTAAACAGCTAAAGAAGTGTAAAATATGTTTTACTCTATCCTTTTCTGAAAATGTTCTGCCTAGTTCCCAAAGCATTTCTTTGTTTTCCTTCCGAAGTACATTAAAATCATTTGGTAAGTGCAATTACCTGCTTCAGGGTCACTCACGTTTGGAGAGGTGGTAATTACAGCCTCTGTGGCTATAGCCAGCCATGCTTGCTTCATGCTTCTCTGTGTGCCTGAGGGTATGATTACTTCACTGCTAGCTTACAGCCTGACCCATGTTATTGTTCACATAATGCTTTTTCAAGCATTTTATACATTTTTAAAAACGTATAATGTGAAGTTGTCTTAAATGGGAAGTAATTCACAAACTCCATTGAACAATCAAAGAAAGCACACTTGTTTTTTCAGAGTGTCTATTTCCCCTGGGTATGCCATCTGGTATAGAAGCTGAGAAAATACAGTTTTCTCTTTCTCTTATTAAATGGAAATAAAATATGCCATCATCAGAAATTGTCTGCATTGCATGTTTTGGCAATTGCATGTTAAAATTGCTCTTTTAAATTGCCTTCTGCTTCTGGGTAACCCATTGTGGCACTGCTTTATGATTAACTGACATTTTAGCAGCATCTCCTTTAGAGGGAAGGTCAAGAGTTCAGGGTGTCCATAACATAATATATTTACACAGTTGGGAAAGCTACTCTCTACTCTTATACTGAAGTTCAGTGCTCTTGGCAGTTTTCATTGAAACATGTAGATCTATGAAGCAGTGAAAAAAGAGTGTGTCGTATTTTAAATGTAGGCATTTACTCAAACTGCTTTTTCTCTCCTAAGTCCAAAATGGAAGCAAAGAAAACAAAACAATATTCAGGCATACACCAGAAACAGCAAAGTATGGAATTAAATTTTGGCCTTTTGGCTGTGGTATCATCAGCAAAATGGAACCATATATTGAGTTTTGTTGTGGTCAGAGAAAGTTACCAGTCACAGCTATTCATCACTGAAACTCAGCCTTGCAGTTAAACAAAAACTAAATTAAATAAACAACTCTGTGAGAATTGGTGTGGTTTATCAGTGTAAGGATGCCATACTATTTTATTTCAATTAAAGATTTTTATCAGCGTTTGTTTTAAAATTTTTTGAAATTTATTGATTTCTTATATATGATCTTTATATGAATTCTTTATTGTTTTTGAATTTTAAAAGGTTATTATTATTGAAGTCAAATAATACAAAGATAAAAAGCCATAAGAAAAGGAATAGAAAACAACATTTCTTCAATTTTCTTAAAAATCTCAAAGGGTAAAAGCCTTAAAAAAATTTTTTTTCTCTTTTAGTGAGTAATAAGTGATACTGTTTTCCGGTTTCTATAGGGAATATTTCAGTTTGAAAGACATTTATCTAT